TGTTGTGTCCAGATAAGTGAAATGAGGCAAGGAGTGGGTATCTAGTTTGTAGCTGTGTGAGGGAAGAACGATGTGCACAGTATGCAAGTGGTTTCATTTATCGGATGATGTCTAGTTCATCGTCATCGTCATCATCATCATTAGGTTTTGTCATGGCGTTAGAGCTGCCACCTAGGCTGTCCCGTCCGGCTTCCTTAATACCGTTGGACGTTATGAATCGCGTCTTCTTGACGCTGCCATTGTGCTGTTTGTCGCCGTCGTAGGCGCGCTTCAGCGGGCTGAGCTTGACGGCGTTTGCTCTCCTGAAGCCCGTTAGGCCGAGGCTGGTCGCAGAAACAGGGGTGGAGGCCTCGAAGCTGGATTTCTCTTGTGAAGATGAGGCGGCGCTTTCGGAATGAGCGGATGTTGCGGGCTTGTTTGCTCTTGCGCGGAGGTACTCGGCGCCCACGTTGCCAGCTCGAGAGGTGACTAGCTTCTGAGTGATGTCTCGTTCGCGCTGCTGCTGCACAAGACGTCTCCGGAAGCGTTCTTCCTTGCTTTCCGCCCCACGGCCCATCATGCCTGCTGCGATGAACGGATCTTCGTCGTCGGCGTCGATGAGACTGGCGGCAGATTGGCCGGGTGCCCTGTGGCGGGAATGTTGAGCGCCGCCGCCTTGAGATTTGGGAGCGGGTGCAATGTAGTACAGGGACTGAGATCCCAGATCGTATTGGGGACCATTTGACTTCAAACCGTTCGGGGTTCCTGGTTTCTTCCCACCGGCGAAAGCTGCAGTCCGTGGGCCTGAACGGCCCCCAGGACCAAACATGCCTGTACCACTGTTGACTCCCATCCGTTGTGACTGTGCCCGACGGACCTGGAGATCGAGGTGAAAATCGCAGAACTCGGTCTTTCGGCCATCCACCCATGATTGGCATGTCTTGCCGTCCTTCCTGACAGCTTTGCAGAAGCCTATATCTTGGGCATATCCGACCTCAAGAATCTTATCATCTGATGAGGAAATGGAGAGGCTGAACCTGTTGGTGTCTATCTTATTTTTGGGAGGTGGCATGATGGTAGGATTCAGGATGGCAATGAGGATGCCTTCTGATAACCTGTAATATCGAGGAAAGGCAGTGTCGAAGAGGAACAAGTCAATTGTCCACTTAAGATCTGTGAGTGTGATTGCCATATACCTGTTGCTGTTGTTCAGTCCATCATCAAAGGGATCGACTTCTTTCGCAGACACATTTCTGGTATCCTTGATTTGCTTTGGCTCAGATTTTGAGGCAACTATGCCGAAGACAACGTAGTCTCCGTCAATGTCTTCGGGAAGCTCAAAGTCTGGCCCTCTCACTGTCCTCAGAAGGTCTGGAATGCGAAGAATCTTCTTATCGGAGAGCGTTCTAGTTAAAAAGGAGTGCGGTAGTATTCGGTTCGATAAGTGAAGCGATGAGTACGGCTCAAACTTGGACGAATCTGGTGTCTTCGATGTTACCTCGTCTCGAGTCTCGTTGTCAAAGTCGGAGAAAGAATCTCCGCGAGACTGAGAGGATCCTGGCCCAGTTTCGGATTGATTGGGTCGCCTATGGGAAAATGGTCGTGACCCCTCAGAGCCTGCGTCTTTGCGCACACTGGGTGCAGTCTGGCTTCGTTTGATGGAGGGCTTGAGATTCTGAAACGATCGCACGACATCGTCTCTGCTGAAAGTCTCGACTGGGCGGCTTCTCGTCGGTGACCTGGGAGGAGCGTTTGTTCTCGCCTCAGCCGCTGCTGTCCTTAAAGTCTCCATCTCCGTCTTGTCGAACTGGAACGCGGAGCTTCGATTGACCTGAAGCCTCAGTTCTCTTTCCCTGCGAGACTTTTCAGCTGTTCGGCTTTCAGCAATCCGTTCGCTAAATGTCTTGCCCCGTTTTCCACCTTCCTCGGCAGCCAGCATCTGCGCGTGAGATGCGAAGATATCGCCGGAGTGAGAAATGGTAGTTTCACGAGTCCCATGCATACTTGTTGGCCGTGACCCCAAGCGGGAGTTTGGCGGACGTTTGAGACTGACATCGCTGCCTTTGAGGCCCTTGTCGATGCCAAGAAGATATCTCCGCGGGGACGCAGGCTCAACTGGAGGAGCCGCTCGTCTGACAGGCGACAAAGGGACTTGAATATCATTCGGCTCGTGTCTGCGAGTGGTTTGAATGGGACTCCTAAGTCTCGATACCTGCTCTTGTGACCGCGACGAGAAACTAACGGCTGATGCTGGTCTGGACTGTGTGTCGTTCGATTCCAACGTGTTTGAGCGTGCGCGACTTTTCTGAAGCTGCTTCAACTTCAGCTTTGCTTCAATGGCAGCAAGCTTGAGTCGTAACGTCTCTTCGTCTTCGTCTTCGTCCTCGTCGTCGAGGCCATCAATAGCGTCGTTCAGCTTTTGGTTAGTTCGTAGATTCGGAGTTGTCCTCGAGTATTTCAAGGGCGACCCCATATTCTCCTGGCGGCGTCGCATATCTTGAAATTTCCTCCGACCATCAGGAGAGCTGAGAAGTGCCTCCCTAGGAGATTTCGGCGGCCATGAGGTCTCAACCACTGAACAATTGCGGTGAGTTTCGGTTAGTTTACTGCCGCAAATAGGAAATGATCACTATACAGACAGGATATGCACTCACTGCTGGTCATGGCAACATCTATTTTCCTGATTTCTCCCAGTCAAGTGATATTGAGAAAGGCCAAGTGACTGTGTCACTGTCTGTTTCTTACGCTCCTTGGCTGACCATTGTTGATTGGGATGCGGGGATGGAATCAGAGCACCGAGGTCAATCTGGAATTGGGAACCCAGGTACGAGTAAACCAGGAAACTGAAGAATTGACTGAGCAACAATAACAATACTACCCGGTGTTTCAAAGTTGAAAACAACCCCTTTCTTTATTAGTACGATCCCCTGTCATCAGCAAGGCACAAGACGAGAAATTGAATCTTCCGCTGCTGCAAGTGTGAGTGGTTGTGTGCAGCAACAGCGCTGATTGGCCGAGGGAGTCCTGCGCGCGTGTCGCGTCCGCAGAATGGAAATTAAACCAACCTGAAGCTCCGACGCGTTGTGAGCATCCCTTGGAGCTACCATCAAGCAGCAAGCTTGTGCACGATCATTTTCGCCAACTGTCTATCGTCGTGCGATGTTAGATATTTATACCGAATAATATACATACTTCGTCTCCGAGTAACACCGCCGAAATGCGGACGCGATCAACAGCTCCCTCTGAGCAACCTGAAACAGAACAAAAGAATCTCAAGAATCTCAAGGCGCCGACTACAGTGCAGACCCCCAACAAGACATTCATTCTCCCTTCAGCTGCAAGAGACGATGCCAGATTCATAACATTGCCCAATCCGCGAACTGGAGAACCCAGTCGCTATTTCTTCTGTCCGAAACTGGGCGTATACGAATTTACCGTCGTAGGGTCCACGCCGCAGTTTCCACGGAGTATACTCTTCACACCCAAAACAGACAGGAACACTCCTAATGGCGAAGGGGACCGCTCCCAAGCCAAGGGGACTATCTCCAAAGTCGCCGAACTGTGTGTTGCAACGCCAATTGATGTCATGTTCTTCATGATACCTCTGCTGGCCCCAGCCACATCGACCCATACCAAGAGGCTTTTCCAGCCGCTTGACGATATCATTGATTCGCAGGACGACTTGCCCAGTCACCTACGTCACATACTTTACAATGAAGATTTTCGGGACGTCTTGCAATCCCGAGTCGAGGCGGTATGTGACTCGGTCGAGGCAGGGGATGAGAAAATGTTCCGCTTCGACGAGGTCAAACTCCTTAAGGAACTGATCGCTAAGGCAGAGCGCCTAGTGGCCCAGGGTCTTCCAGCGAGCTTGGAGGAGCGATTCGTGCGTCAAGCACTGGTTACGCCTTTGTTGTCCGTCAAACGAGAGGAGACCATCATCGGAGGCACATCCTCCTCAGAAGATGACGGCGAGGGAGAGTCCCAGGACAAACAGGAAACACAATCCACAACGACTGCCTCTGTATCAACACCCTCAGGTGTCTCAACGCCTGCCACAGAACTGTCCGCTGAATCAACTCTGGAATCCGCCACCAGGGACAATATGGCTCGTCTGTTGAGAATCTCCACCGTCCTCTCCTTCATCAAGGAATCATATATCTCGCCACAACTCTGTGCTAGGTTAGATGAGTTACTTGCTACTCCTGAAACACCCGTGGATTTCAAGCCACTTCAAGACCACCTTCAGCATATAGCAGAGCTGCGAGCGCAAGCACTCGCGACTCAATCACTTGGGGATTTCAGCCGGAAGCGCGGTGCCGATGACGACGAAGCTGCAGAGTCCCGCGCCGAGAAAAAGCGCCGCAAAGAAGAGGAAGAGAAGAAGAAGAAGGCCGGTGAATCCCGCGGTGTGAGAGATCTGAAGAAGGTCAATACCGCGGGAATGAAGAAGATGAGTGATTTCTTTACCAAGGCAGCGCCCAAGAAGAAATCCTGAGTTTTCTCGCTTTATCCCAACGATTGATCAGCCGCTTCATCTGCGACAATTGTTCCCGATAGGTGACCCGACGGACGGTAGAGCCTCCGTTACCAAGAAGCCAAAGAGAGCCAATTTCCTGGTACGGACTTCGAAAGTAAGATATGGGCCAGACTAAGCGTGGGTCCTGTTTTACAGTCCAAAGACAAGCTCTGAGGCCTAATAAACGCTATGACCCAAGCATGATTCCTCGTGCTTGCAGTCCACACGCTTTTGTTGTTTGAGGACAATACTGCTACAAGAACCAGATCCACCCATGCAACATACCGACCGGTCGCTGGCCGATCGAGTGGACTCTGTACTGATTGTGAAATATAAGGAATCATACTCAAACCATGCCTAGCTTGAATGGATGTCACAGGCACTTATGCATTATATACTCCTGGATCTGGATTCAAGAAGGACAATCCAATCGTCCTAGAGATCAATGTGAACAGTACAGAATCGCTCAATGCTTTATTTTCTTTTTCGTGATATACATCTCCTAAATTTTGACATCGGCAATGGCGGCTCCCGTAATCCTGGTGGAAAGCAGTCAGTGAGTCAACGTTCTCGCTTGGAACCGTATAGATATCATCCAGACAAGGGTACACATACATGAAGGATCCGTTAGAAGGCTTGCTGATAACCATTGCCTGTGCCAGCTTCTCCTCGCTGATATCCGGGAACTTCTTCAGATAATACTCTTCCTTCAAGGCCTTGGTGACGGCCTCGACCTTGGACTGCGGCAGCATGTGAACCGTGCAACCTCCCCAGCCAGCGCCCGTAAGGCGACTTCCCCAGGTTCCGGCGCGGCGGGCGATGGCGCAGATCTCATCGACTTCCGGGGCACTGCAGTCGTAGTCTGTGCGGCAGGATTCCTGGGACTCGTTCAGCAGCTGGCCCAGGTAGCGGATGCGTCTCTCGTCCAGGGTATGGGCCTTGGCCAGGCAGGCCCTGAAGTCAAGCACGCGCCGGGCTTCCTTGAAGCAGTGCAGGGCACGCTGGCGGAGCAGGAAGCGCTCTGCCTGGACAGGGAATGCGGACAGGAACTCGGCCTCGAGCTCGGGGACCGTGATGCCGAGCAGCTTGGCGACCTCTTCCCGGGTGTATCCCTGCTCCTGGGTCAGGAGTTCCATGGTGGATTGGATCACGGAATCGATCTGGTATTCCAGCGGGTCCCCGAGGCGGCCCTCCTTGCGCATGAATTCCTCGTGGAAGTTGCGTAGACTGTATCCCAGCGAGCTGTTGTCCTTGGTCAAGGTGATTCCGTGCTGCGCGGCCAGCACCACAGCGGCCAGAGTGCATTCGGCGACACGCAGGTTGTAGTGGCGGGGTGCCGTCTCGGCCTTGTTTGAGGTGACGAAGCTCTGGGCCATGAGGAAAGTGATTTCTTCATCGGCCTTGGGAATCGGGACATGCTGAACGGCAAAGTTGGGGTAGAACTGGGTATAGAGGAGATATCCGCGACGTGAGAAGATGGAAGCCGCTTGGTCCATTCTACCGCATAAGCTGGTTAGCTCACAATACGATATGCCGCTGCAGTGATCAACTTACCCTCCCGAGTAGACACCGACGGCTCTCTCCGAAACAACAGCCAGGTCGAGCAGGTCCTGCTTCGAAACATTGTGGTTGTTGGCCTTCATGACGGCCAACGCACTTGCACAGACAAATGCCGCGCTGCTGGAGATACCACCACCTGGAGGCACATTACCATCCACCAAGACCTCAAAGCTTGCTGGTGTAAACGAGCCATCCGCCTTCTGCTTGCGAAGGAACTTCAACGCGCCCGAAAGGCCAGCTTTGAAATAGTTGACCCATTCATGCTTCTTGGGGTCAATCTCGATATCGGTATCCCGAGGCACAGTGAATTCGCGAGAGGGGAACTTTTCGGGTGAAACATTGGAGATTTTGACAAATGATTCCGAGCCAGTAGGAGGAACAACCTTGACGGCGATAATCACGTCGACACTTACAGCTGTCGGGAGGACGTCATATAGGTTGTAGTCGATGTGCTCTCCAATGATGTTGACACGGCCAGGGCTGCGGGCTACGAAATCTGGGCGATGGCCGTATAATTTGGTGAATTGAGCAACTAATCCGTTGAACCGTGACTGGTGCTCAGGGGCAGCAGAGGCAGTAGAGGCATCGTCCGTAGCGTAGACCTCAGCTATGGATTCTGTTTGAGGCACGAGTTCCTGCGGGGTTGCCATGGCGGGGTATCTGAGTGCAAGCTCAGGGAGGAGATAAGATGTCAGAGGTTGTTTTCGGGGAAAAGAAGAAAAGCAAGATGAAATTGAGGAAATCAGAAAAGAGAAAGAAAAAAAAAAAGGTGTACCTGACACACGGAAATATTGCTGAAGTGTCTGGGTGGGAAAACTGCCAAACTAATCTCTATGTATGTCATAGGGGGGGGAAACGTGGGGAGGGGCCGAGGGGCAGAGACACCACGAAATACGCACGAGACATCGATGCTTCAATAATACCTTAATGCCTTGGATTAGGGTGGGGATCCCCGAAATGATGCCCCGGAGGTCCCGTGCCTCTCACTGGGTGAAATCCGTGTCCCGTGGGGACCTGGACGCCTCTCGGTTAAATTCAACCCGGAGATTATCCCGTTCTTTCTAGTTTCTACTACCATAGTATTCCATTTCACTCACTCTACGGAATAGTTTCTCCGTCATTCACCAGCTCCCCGATTTCTCCAGCTTTCTTTTAGACCCTAGCATAAGCTGCATAGCTTGCCTTGAGCTAGATGGCACTGACCCTACTCGCCCTCCACTGTGCCTCCGCCTGGGGCTTAGGGTTCTCAAGAAGCAATCAATGTGTGCAGTATGTAGCTATACTGAGAAAGCTCACGATCCATCCAAATAGAGGTAGGGTTTGCTTTGCAATCGGATTCCTTATAACCATGCAGACTGAGTGTTTGCTCCCACCCTTTCAATCCTTTCTTCACCCCTCCAACAGTGTTATTCATTTACTCTTCTGCAGTTACTTACCAACGCAACCTTTGCATTTCTTTCGATCCACCCATTCTCTTTGTTGATTTGTTCGCTTCCTCTGTTTGAACTCATCACCAACAAGACAAAGACCGTGGACATAGTACTAGCCAGACTAACCTCAAGCCCTTGGAGATAAGCCGATTGACAGGGCAGACCAAGCTGTCAAACATCCAGGTGCTCCAGCTGATCATAAAAACATCAAACAGATGTGGACCGGAGATTCCAACAGACAACTATGACGAGAGGACTCCACAGCCCAGAGCGGCTTCAGAGGACCGCCCTGACATATTTGAAGCATAAGAAGAGTCCAGACAGGAGAGTAATGCCTGGGGACCAGGCGTCAGAAAGCTTGCAACGAAGACGAATGACTTGCAATACAAGGACCCACCATCAGCTTGCATATGATACAACGATAATTTCCCAAGGCGCCATACTGAAGGTACAGATGCCCCTATCAGTGACCTCTTTTGACTGCCCGTGGTAGAGTCAAAAGGGGTCAATCGTCCTTTGCCATTAAGATAATGAAGGGAGACAAAATCCCTTTTGCTTCGTCTCTTTACTGGCCCTTGTTTCCATGCTCAGGCGCCAAACCTGGTCCGTAATCCTCGGAGATACATAGCTTCACTCGATGGTACCACCTCAGTCACTGTCCACTTTGTGACTCCATATAGGGCCTAGCGTGGACTGAGTACTCGGTAGCAATCAATCACCAGCAAACTAACAATGACAGCTGACATGCGGGGTTCGAAAAAGGCATTAACTACCCACGCCGAGTAAAGGTACCTTAGCTCAATCAAGCCAGAAACTGGTCCACTTTGGATGATGATCATGCCACGAGGTGCTATCTTAAACTGATCTGGCCTGGCCTGACATTGGACTGCATCATTGTCTCGTTGTTAACCTCAAGTAACAGACGAGCATGAAATTTCACTCTTGGCATCGGATCAGTGAGTTACAATGACCCATACATTCTCATGCTTGACAAGCAGATCCAGAACTCAGTTATGGAACGGCCGAGTACCAAATTGCTGCGTCCGTGGCATTCAATGGATCGGAGGACCGGTGAATACGGTTATAGTATCTTCGTGGATCAAATCCCCTTAAGGATCGATTGCGTGAGGAACACCAGGCAGGCATCTACCCCGCTTCTGACGCAGCTCTTCTGCACAAATCCGTCTCCAGGAGCACAGTCGCGATCATCAGCTGTCATGGCGTTTGGAGCACATCCTGCAAAATGGCTCTTCCCGTTAGGAGCCTTGCAAGCTCAAGACTAACCAATGGTCATAGACGTCAGTCATACTCAATATCAACCTGACTACGGGCGCTATATTCTGGAACTCATGACGCCGAGTCATCAGTACGCCCTTCGAAAGTGCTAACTCTATGTCTGGCCAACGATACGCCGCAGACAGAAAGACAGAAATTCGATTGTTCAATGCGGTGAAGGATTCTCATTCCTCGAGTGATTATGGTTGGCGTGCCAGAATGTCCAAAGCTACCTTAAGCTGGATGTACTGCGATATACAGCATCTGTAATCAATTGGTCTGTAACTCGGCTTGTATGAACGGCGCTGGGTGTGCATGCTCCCAGCTGATTTTGTAGACGAGCATCAAGCTGTGACTGAAGAGTTGAGGTCCATGCTTGTGCTCCGTAAGGTACCTAGGTACCTTAGTACTCCGCATTATGAGTAACGAGAACGCTGCCAATCAGGTGATGTACAAACAAGCAGATGGACGCCGAACATCGGAGTGCGCTGTCCAATAATGGCGTTAAGGTGATTGGCCTTAGGCCGCGCTAGGCCGCTGTCGGTTAGCTGGTCCAGATGCTCTCCCCCGAACTCTGACTCTTCTTCTCGGCCTCTTTTGGGCGTCTTTTTCTACTGAATTTCTGGTCCAGCAATTCCATCTCCTCTCCTCTCTCCAAACCTTCCATTTCTCTCTTATTTTGGCCTGGCAGTCATCCGCCATCAAGATGATGCCTCTAAGACCATCAAAAAGCGCTCTGCGCTCTTTCCACTACCAGAAGTACATTGCTGCTGGTAGAAGACCGTTCACCTCTTCGTCCGTTGCCGGTACGGTGTCGCCCCACCGCTTTTCTGCTCAAAAGCGCAACCAGAGCACTGCAACAGCTACGGCTTCGTGAGTTTTCTCTTTGGGATAGGGCTCCGAGAAAGTTCTTGTTCACAGACATTGACATTTCAATGCTTTAGAAATTCAAGACCTATTCCTAGTCCCGCCTTCAACCAGGAGCCTCATCGCAATGAAGTTTCACCTCTGCAAAATCGGCAGCTACCCGAGCTGGACGACTCGTATGTCAATTCAGAAGGCGTCACATCAATTGATTGTTTAGAACAAGCCTAATTATCGTGATGAGCAGGTTTGTCGGTCTTAGTGGTGGACAGATCTTCCACGAGATGATGCTTCGACTTGGTGTTAAGCACATCTGTGAGTCATCCCTCGCTTACCACTCTTTTGGTCAATTCCCCCTTCAACGGACGGTATACTGAACTCCCATCTAGTTGGCTACCCCGGTGGTGCCATTCTGCCCGTGTTCGATGCCATCTACAACTCTAAGCACTTTGACTTCGTTCTTCCTCGCCATGAACAGGGTGCCGGACATATGGCCGAAGGTTACGCACGTGCTTCTGGAAAACCCGGTGTTGTCCTCGTCACTTCCGGACCAGGAGCCACCAATGTTATTACACCTATGCAAGACGCTCTTTCTGATGGCACCCCAATGGTTGTTTTCTGTGGTCAGGTTCCCACTAGCTCGATCGGTACCGATTCTTTCCAGGAGGCCGATGTCATCGGTATCTCGAGAGCTTGTACCAAATGGAATGTTATGGTTAAGTCCGTTGCCGAGCTGCCTCGTCGGATCCAGGAGGCTTTCGAGATTGCAACCAGCGGTCGCCCGGGACCCGTTTTGGTTGATCTTCCCAAGGACATCACCGCTGGCATCCTTCGCAAACCCATTCCCATGAACAGCACCATTCCTTCCCTCCCCAGTGCTGCTACCATGGCTGCTCGTGAGCTCAGCATGAAGCAGCTCGAGAGTAGCATTGACCGTGTCGCCCGCCTGGTTAACGTTGCCCAGAAGCCCGTTCTGTATGTCGGGCAGGGTCTCCTCGCTCACCCAGATGGTCCCAAAGTGCTGAAGGAATTCGCGGACAAGGCCTGCATTCCTGTCACTACCACTCTGCAGGGTCTCGGAGGCTTTGATGAGCTTGACCCCAAGGCTCTTCACATGCTGGGAATGCACGGATCTGCCTACGCCAACATGGCTATGCAGGAAGCCGATTTGATCATTGCCGTTGGTGCCCGTTTTGACGATCGTGTGACCGGTAACCTCTCCAAGTTTGCTCCCCAGGCCAAGCTGGCTGCCTCTGAGAAACGTGGTGGAATCGTCCACTTCGAAATCATGCCCAAGAACATCAACAAGGTCGTTCAGGCCAACGAGGCTGTGGAGGGCGACTGTGCCGAGAACATCCGCCTCCTGCTTCCCCATGTCAAGCCGGTCTCTGAAAGACCAGAATGGTTTGCTCAGATCAATGACTGGAAAGCCCGCTTCCCCTTCTCTCTGTACGAGAAGCAGACCCCGGAGGGCCCCATCAAGCCCCAGGCTTTGATTGAGAAACTCAGCGATCTCACCGCCCCCATCAAAGACCGCACCATCATCACTACTGGTGTCGGTCAGCATCAGATGTGGGCTGCCCAGCACTTCCGTTGGCGCCATCCCCGTACCATGATTACCTCTGGTGGTCTCGGTACCATGGGATACGGCCTTCCCGCTGCTATCGGCGCCAAGGTCGCACGCCCCGATTGCCTCGTCATTGATATCGATGGTGATGCTTCGTTCAACATGACTCTTACCGAACTTACCACGGCTGCTCAGTTCAACATCGGCGTCAAGGTCCTTCTACTGAACAACGAAGAGCAGGGCATGGTGACACAATGGCAGAACCTGTTTTACGAGGACCGGTACTCGCATACCCACCAGAAGAACCCTGACTTTGTGCCCATGGCTCGGTCTATGGGTGTCGCTGCTGAGCGCTGCACTAAGCCTTCTGAGGTTGAGGAGAAGCTGAAGTGGCTGATCGAAAGCGATGGTCCTGCTCTGCTTGAGGTCTTCACTGACCGCAAGGTGCCCGTGCTTCCCATGGTTCCCGCTGGTAGCGCCCTGCACGAGTTCCTGGTCTATGATGAAGCCAAGGAGAAGGAGAGAAAGGCCCTCCTGAGAAGCAGAACCGCCCCCGAGTACCTTCACAAGTGATCATGCAGACGCTTTCGGCTTTGCAACATTGCCTACTGATCTTTCATCTTTCTGTTGATATCCATGGCGTTTCTGGCGGGTTCTAAAACGCAACTGGGCGGAGATGTATGCTTAAATCGACGTCCAGCCTCTCACACAAAGTCTTCTTCCTCATGAAAGTGGGAAAGGATCATAAGGGGATTCAAAAGTGACACTCTATTCGGTCCATTTTTCTTCACAGCCCCTTCTTTTTCATGTTCTCTTGGCATGCCAATTGTAATCTTGCCAAAAATATGCCTCTGGTTTCTGTCGGACATTAGCTTGTATATAATGCACATTATCGTTACTTTTGAAGGTTACTTAGTTGGAAATCTTTCATGTATGTCTTAGGAAAGGATGGGCAAATCGATGATTGATATCACAGACTGTTTCGGAAGATTTGAAATGAGAAATTCATCTATGAACATCCAGACCGCTTCATACTGCTCAGCCAAATCTACGCCGTCCATCCCAGTCAGATGATAGTAGAGGCAGGTGGCTCGTTATGCTACCATATCTGCCATCAGTGAAGTGATCGCGCGCAATAATATGCCTAGTGTCACGTGATCCTTCCTGACGTCGGTGATTCCTGAGGCCATCAAAGTCAAAGCCCTTGAAAGCCGCGGTTCGTATCCGAGGAGGCGGTAGATCGATTCCGCCCTCCGATTGACGACTGAGTGATGAATAAACTATCTCCCCTCTTCCCAACATCATCAGCAGTCCTGTAGTACAGTTTGCGACTCAGCTACAACCTCGATTTGCATGATGCCAGGCACATATCACATCTTCTAGAATTACGGATTTCCATTCTTCCCTTTCGCTCGACCGTCTTATCCACCACGATCTGTCGCAACCATGGCTTCTGTCCCCGGATATCCCGCCACTATTGGCAGAGCTCGATCATCGGATGCCACATCAGTTCGAGACGAGACTACCGCAAGCACAGACAGAAGCAGTTTCACAAGCCCCTCACACGCAGAATCTATGGAGGGCAACGAGGCAGTTCTACTCAACAAACCACTCGCATCCAGCGAGGATGCGTCAGCTACCGCCTCAGACACCGCCACCGCCAGCAAATCTCCTGTCCCGAGCTCGACCGCCACTGAGTCCGTGAATGAAGAACCGCGCAAGTGCTGGATCTGTTACACCGACGAGACGGAAGATTCCCCCTTGAACTCCGAATGGCGCTCGCCATGTCCCTGCGCTTTGACCGCTCATGAGGCTTGCCTCTTGGACTGGCTCGCTGATCTCGAAAACCCTCGGTCCCGCAAACGCAACGGTCACGGAGCCAAGATGGTGTGTCCGCAGTGTAAATCTGAAATTGTGGTCTCTCGTCCGCGAAGCTATATCGTTGACGTCGTTCGGATGTTCGAGCGGCTTGCTGGACGGCTGGTTCTACCGGGTATGGTGTTTACCCTGGCGGGTACCGTTTGGGCGGGATGCTGCGCACACGGCGTTTATTCGATGTATTTCGTTTTCGGGACCGAGGAAGCGAGACAAATCTTAGAAGAGGCGGCGGATGGTACTTGGAACTCGGGCTTGAATCTGGGGTTACCACTGATTCCGCTCGTGCTCATCTTCTCACGGACTCGCTATGCCGAGGGTCTTCTACCTGCCATCCCAGTCCTGTTCTTCGCGACGCATAACCCTGGCCAAGAGCTCGACCTTGACCTGTGGCCACCTAGTGCTGCTATGACGTTTGCTGCGCTTCCCTATGTTAAAAGCTTCTACAGCGCGGTCTATCAAAGATTATTCGGCAAGCTGGAAAGGAAGTGGATAGCCGAGGTGCAACCGCGCCAAGCAGATATCAACGAGTTTGATGATAATGCGCCACCTGAGCATCCGGAGGGAAGAAACGATGCCGAGAATGGCCAGATATTGATGGAAATTGATCTGGAGTTCCAAGTTGGAATGGGTAACGATGTACGTCAGGGTATTCTGGGTCTCCATGCCGGAGAAAACGCTCAGAACAACGGGCAAAACCAAGGTGACGCGCAAAATGGAAATAATATGGGACTAGGACGGCGAGACGACCTCATACATGAGACAAACAACCTTGCCGATATCATTCTTGGAGCTCTCGCATTCCCGGCGATCTCGGCATCCATGGGAGGTCTGCTCAAGTATATTCTCCCCAAGTCGTGGACAAGCGCACCGTCAGCCCTGGAGCGCGGCCGACCCGGTCTACTACAGACGCGGTGGGGACGAAGTGTCATTGGAGGGTGCGTGTTTGTGCTGCTGAAGGATGCACTGGTACTTTACTGCCGCTGGAAGCTTGCACAGACACACAGGAAACGAAAGGTACTGAACTACGACCGGAAGAAGAAGAAAGTCGTGGACCACTGAGTGGCGTTTTCCAAATTTTTAAAACATTGGCACTTTCGCTTTCTGCTCTCTCTACTCTCATGACTACGGATATGACGACGATGCATTTCACTGGCGTTGGATGGGATTACCCTGGAGGATTTATCTAGTCTACTCTCTCTACACTCGGATCTTCAACCGGATGCCAAGGTTTTTCTAAAATTTAGGAGTGTTAGATTCCCACATGGTAGGCACCTCAATGGCATTTGTTGCAGGCGATATCAAGAACTGCGAATTATACAATCATTCAATATAATGGCATGGATCATAATACAGGAGATGGAACCAATCTCAACTTTCGATACTCCGTAGACAACATTTAGTTCGTAGAGTGAGCTACGAAATAAGCGCGCGGCTAATCAAACTTTCCGCCGCCGATCCCCAAAAACCAAAATGCCTCCTTCACTTCCACCAGCACATCTAGTCTACCTCACGCAATCCAACACTCACCACGCACAATGCGTCCTCTCTCCCCCGTCCTCGCCTCCCTGGCGAGCGTCTTCAGAATTCCTCTCTCCCAAACACCGGCCCGACCAGCCATCAGCCGGCTCAGCAACGACCTCTTAGTACGCAAACCCACCGCTCCTGTTCAGCCCGCAGCATCAGCAGCAGTCATCGGAACCCGGCTCTTCTCAACAACAAGCGCCCTACTGAAACGCAACAAAAATGCCCCTCGCGGCGATAAAAGAATCAGTAAGTTTCTTGTCTCCCGGGGGTTCTCCCGCCGAACCACGACCACACCTCGCCGATAGGCACCGACAGGAACCAGAACCAGAAATAAATCGGAATTGATGAGATGCCGTTGACTAACTAACGTGCCACAGCGCTAATCCGCTACTTCCTCTGGCACCCGCTCACCCCCCGGCCCCTCCGCTTCTCGCGAACCCGCTACCTCCGGCACTGGACCATCCACCGCGCCTGGCAACTGTACCAAGCGCAGCAGCGCCGCGCTAGACAGCTCGAGCTACAGCGCCAGTGGCAAGCGATGAACGCCGCGTGCGAGGAGCTCCGTACGGGTGCCGGGGATGGAGGCAAGCTGTTCCGGATCTCGATGAATAAGCGTGGGGTGTATAGGGATATGTTTCCCATTGAGTATGCGCGGATGCAGACCGAGGGCCCGAGTAAGGAGGGGTGGAATCATGAGTGGAAGCGCATGGAGAAGAAATACTAGGCATTGGTCCCTTTTTTACATTGGTGGGCGGTCAATGGAAAGGCTCTGGGTTCCTCGGAATTGGTCATTTGTTGAGTCTGGTTGTAAGTATTGACATGTACTATAGGTCATTTTGTTCTGATTGTTTAATTTCATGGACATCTGATTCACCCGATATAGACTGTTTCAAGCCAATAACTACATTGTGCAATTTTTGCCCTCGCTCTTGCTCAGACTGGACGCGAGCATGACGTACAGCCGGAATTGACATCAGCATGTTCAGTATGTGTCAAAATGCTGGATATAAGACATAGATGAAGTGCAAAAGACGCTAGACAGCATCAGAAAAGGGAATGAATATAGGAAGGATAAAAGAAAGAAGCAAAGTGAGGCGCAGGGAGAATCATAACGAAACAAAGCGCTCCAAAGTCGAGAGAAGGAAGTATACCAAAGGAGGGGAATCCGGAGTGCAGGTGTTCATGTAAAAGAGAGTGTGAGCAGGAAGATATACCCTAGTGAAGACAGCGCAAGAGAAAAATATGAACAGAGAACCTCCCAAACGCCAGTGATGCAAGTTGCGATGATCAGTCAACGACCACCAAATGATCCTTCTCTGCTCCTTTTTGAGAGATCCGATAGAATAAAACTGAATCAATGAGTCCGTGGCAGCTGAGGTCGTATTACCATCGGATGTCATAGCACGATGCAACATGAGGTCTTCCGCTTATCGAATGTAAGAAGGGCGGCTCGCGTAGCGGCTTCGAAAACGTCGTCTACTCCCTCTCCTGTCAAAGACGAGCATTCGAGGTACTTCCTGGCGCCGATTTGCGTGGCAGTTTCGCTTCCTTCCCTAGATGTGACGAAGCGTAGGGACTTCTTCCGCATTTCTTCAATCGCGAGAGGATCTTCGCGCAAATCTTTCTTTAATCCGACAAGGATGATGGGTACGCCGGGACATCGCTCGTTTGCTTCCTCAATCCACTGCAGACGGAACTAGTGAGTTGACAAGTAATGAAACCTGGCGAATCGCAACATGAACGAACCTTGTGCTTTACGTTTTCCAAGGAATCTGGCGTGTCCACAGCAAATCCTATCAGAATAACGTGCGCTTTGGAATACGCGAGTGGCCGCAATCTTTCATAGTCTTCTTGACCTGCAGTATCCCACAAAGCCAGCTGAACAGATCGACCATCAACTCTGCAATCCGTGACATAGTTCTCGAATACTGTGGGAACCTGGTGATATGGTCAGAAGCTATATTCCTGGCGAAAGCGAGGCGCATTAAGGATGCATGAGTACTAACATAGTGCTGGAAACGGAACATATTAGCTGACATAGTTCACAAACCATTACCAAATTTTGGCGTATCATCCGGATGAGGCACTCACAGTTGGGAAATAACCAAGCGTAAATACACTCAGTAAACTGGTCTTCCCGCAAGCACCATCTCCAATAATGACCAGCTTTCTGCATTGAGGATGAGATCAGCATATTGTATCATTGAGAGAATGCCAATTCGAAATCATGGCTTGCTTCCTCCAGACCAGGACAAGGATGGTGCGACTAACGAGGCCGGAAACCGCCTGTATTGACCTGGACGTGGACCACAGAGATCCACCCCAAGAACCAGAAGGGGCCTTGTACATACCTCCGCATCACATTGTCATTCTGTTGTTGAGCCATTGTTCCTCACGAATGACCGAGAGACACGGCTCCCTTCGAAGGCGACAGTGTGGAAGAAATTCGAGCGATGGTATTCGAGATGGGAAAACGACAAGGGGAGGGCGTTGTTCACTGTTCAGCCCCGGCTGATATCGAAACTTAGCGGAATCAGGCAACCGTAAGATCTGACCGTAATACCGAATTGGCCGGACGGTTTGCGACGAAACGAATGGAAGAAGGTGGTGAAATTGTTTCTTCTGATAGAAACAATATCCCCTCCCCCTAAATTGCTTGAGTGAAGAGAGGATGATAACGAGTTTGAGGATTAGTTTGTCCTGGAAGGCGGTCGAGGTGAGGCTGATGGACTTTTTAAGTCAATTGATGATCGACCAACACGGGGGAAGTGGGAGGAGTTTACTCCGTACCACTTTCCCTTCTGGCAGAGATGTCTTGGTAATACCAGTTTGGTTTCAGAAGTACTGTGTACCTTACCGGTGGTACTCCGTATACAGTACAGTACAGATGTCAGGTAGGCCGAGAGGTATCTTAGGTATTATTATTCCGCAAAGACCCCGACTTACAGAAAGAGGGAGACAAGATGATGCTGATAACAATAAGAACATTTAAATATCGGAGAAGTCACGAGAAGAGAAGTAGTAAGGCTTTAAATAATACAGAAGTAGCTCGCCGAAAGCCTAGCTGATTTATAAAATGCTAATCAAAGCAAAGGATGGGATCGACCCGTAGTTGGCGCAGCTGAAGAGACCATATCTTCCCACAAATAATGGCTTTATTAAAGAATTGTCTCAAATCGCCTACGCCAGGTGCTATATCTTTTCCCATTCGAACCATAACTGTTGTTATAAATGGATGCATGTGGAGAGAGAGATGAGACGGGAGAAGTAAATAATACCTAATATGCGCATAGAGCTACCTAGATAGAGCCTAGAGCAAAGAGGGGACTGGTCTCGACGACAGTGGACAATTATACTAAGACCATGCTTCGGCCAGTCCGGTATCTAGTCCAGACACCTATCTTAGCAACAACATGAACGTGCTGCGTGCTGATGAACTTGACAGTCATGAAGATTGTTCCAGAATGATTTTCAAGACTGTCCTTGCTTTATAATGCTTAGTATGCCATATGTCACTTAGAGTACAAGGCCTTGCTTCTAGCCTGTCTGCAGAATGGTCATAGACTGGAACCTAAGAAAGGACTTTATCTGATTTCATCTGCTTGGGTACCTTAACGGTATATCCAAGGAGGTAGGTACCTACCTTACCTTTAGGTACCTCAGGGTACTCCGTAGTTGAGTAAACGGATGGAGAGCGAAATTGTAATGGATACCTCAGGCATAATAATTTATGCCCAAATCCTCAGGCCTCCATCTCGCTTGCGGCGGCTATCCAGCCAGCGGCACGCCAGCCATCCAGACGGCGTCAAGATCCACCATCCAAAGCCCATCAATCATCCATCTCCATTCTCCAGTGGCAGCCAGCCTTTCAAACCCCATCCCGCTCTTGCTGCGCTTGTTCGTTTTCCCCCAACTCCCATCTAGATCCTAATACTTATCGAGATCCCCTCCTTGTCACCCCGGAGCGACCTCCAATAGGGAGTATATTCTTCAGTCGCCTAACTTGGACATTGCCCGCCTCCCCTGCGTGCGGCCAAAGGGTTCTCTTCCACCCCTCTTCCGCCCTCATTATTCCCCATTTTGTCCGCCCAGGATCTCCTCCTCTCTTTATCCTAACTCCCCACCTCTCACTCGCAAGGGTCTCCCCCTTGTTAGGGACTGCTGACATCGGATATCCTCTTCGTTCAGCTCTGTTGATCGCAATTTAGTCCGCTTACTGCTCGCCGGTGAGCTCTGTCTGTGCTCGGCTGTACTCTACCCTTGCTGATCTTGCTCTAGCAAGGCTTTGGGTTTTGGAAGTGGAAGTATCAAGGACAGCTAGGGTTTTACGCCCTCTTTACCTCCCGACGATCTTGTTTGCTCTCCGGGAGCGGATATCTTTGCGAACTCGTTCTTCATGGCTCCTGCGCCGCATACACAACATTCTCCAAACTCCACAATGCTGAACAGTTCGTCAACAACTGCTCATTCAGCGCCCACCACAAATGGCGACGTTCACGCGCCGAAAGACCACCACCTTTCCTCTCCGTCAGACACAGTCTCCGGACCGGTAAACCGAAAGAAGCAGAAACGCAGACAAAAGCAGGCAGCTCGCCTGGCCGAGCGTCAACCAGCAAACGGACATGTATCGACGGATGACGCTACTCAGAACGGATCCAGCCACGCTAATCCAGAACGATACCATTCCGACGATGGTGATGCTGACGGACCCGACCACGAACAGCCCACGAACGGTGACACATATCATAAGGATGGTCAGGATTCGGTGGACGCCCACGTTGATTCACAAAATCCCCAAGGGCCCGACGGCACGGAGAGCTCTCAGAGATCGACAGGCCGCAAATCGAAGAAAAAGAAAGGGAAAAAAGCACGTAATGGTTCTCACGCGCAAGGAGACGAAACCTCGACTCCCATGTCCACCCCTTCCGTATCAATGTCGCACCCTTTGCCGCCACCTCTCCCCTCCCATCTCGCGCCTCACAATATTTTGAAACCTGCCAAAAACCGCAGTATTTGGAATACATCTACTCAGGAAGAACGTGAGAATATTAAGACGTTCTGGCTCGAGCTAGGAGAAGAGGAGCGACGGCAGCTCGTCAAGGTGGAAAAGGATGCCGTTCTGAAAAAGATGAAGGAGCAACAACGCCATTCGTGCAGTTGTACGGTATGTGGGCGAAAGCGAACGGCTATCGAGGAGGAGCTCGAGGTTCTCTACGATGCCTACTACGAAGAGCTTGAACAGTACGCCAATCATAATAAAGGATCGTTTGAAAAAGGCTCCCCTATGGTACCGCCTCCACGGTTGTACCAACCTCCACTACGATCTCCCGGCCAACATACCCGAACGCAAGGCCAATTCCATCCTTCACGAGGTCGCATTCATGAACTGACAGAAGAAGATGATGATTTGGAGGAGGACTACGATGAGGAGGAAGATGACGGGGATGAGCCTTACAGTGACGAAGAACTTGACGAAGAAGACGAGGAAACTCGTGCAGCTCGCGCAGATTTCTTTGCCTTCGGAAATAGCTTAACTGTTAAAGGTAAGGCTGATGTGCCGCCAGCTTTTGAACATTCCAACGGAATCCTGTACTGATTTCTTGCTTTTTCCCCTCGCTCTCCGAGATAGATGGTATTCTTACAGTTGCAGACGATTTACTGAAGAATGATGGGAAACACTTCATCGACATGATGGAGCAGTTGGCCGAACGTCGAATGCAACGCGAAGAAGATACCCAGTACGGCATAGCTGCTGCGCACGAATCCCTTCATAGCGGTCACAATCATGGTCCATTCGACGACGAAGATTACGACGACGAGGAAGATGAGGACTATGACAGTCAAGAGGAAGAGGATTACGAGGAAGATGAAATGGTCTGCCCTGGAGTTGTTCCCCCCCTTCGTGGTGTTCGGCCACTATTCTTAGTTCACCACTAACCTCTACTTCAGGATGCCATGACAGAAGAACAACGCATGGAAGAAGGCCGACGAATGTTTCAAATATTTGCGGCCCGAATGTTCGAGCAACGCGTTCTGACCGCATACCGAGAAAAGGTCGCCGAGCAACGGCAACAGAAGTTGATCGAAGAACTCATGGAGGAGGAGACTCGGAACGAACAGCGAAATGCTAAGAAAGCTCGGGAAGCGCAGAAACGGAAAGACAAAAAGAGACTGCAGAAACAGGCCAAGGAAGAGGAACGCGCGCGCCGGGAAGCGGAGAAGGCTGCAGAGGAAGCAGCTGCCAAGGCGGAACAGGAGAAGAAACTTGAGGAACAGCGAAAGAAACGGGAGGAGCAGCGGAAGAAGAAAGAAGCAGAACGGAAGGCCCAAGAAGAGGAGCGTGCGCGCAAAGAGGCGGAAAAGCTTCGACGTCAGCGTGAGGAACGAGAGCGACAAGCCGAAGCGGAGCGGAAGCAGCGCGAGGAGAAGAAACGACGCGAAGAGGCCCGGCGGAAAGAAAAAGAAGAGCGAGAATTGCGGGAAAAGAAGGCAAAGGAAGAGCGCGATCGCAAGGAGGAACAAGCCAAGAAGGATACAGCAAAGGGCGGAGAGGAAGCCAAAGATCAGGAGAAGCGTGATGATCAAGCCAAACGGTCGTCGCAACAGGGACCTGTCCCTATTCCGTCGAATTTACATCATCTTCAGGGCTTTTCCCCGGCTGTCGCTCATTCGCCGCATATCCCATCCGCAACACCTGTGTTACCGAAAGCTCCTACTCCCGCCAGACCCCGTCAGCCATCCCAACAAGACTCTCATTCCTCCTCCTCACCACACTCCCAAGCACCTAGCACCGACCCGTCGCAGGCCTCCCTTTCTCCTCGTTCGATGCCCGTGTCTCAGCCATCGGGAGTTGCCAGTGGGAATTCGCAACAAGGCCACGGACTGCATGCAATGCTTCATCAACCTCAGCCTTCTACGCCCTTGTCCCCCCTAGGCAGATCCATTCCTCCTGGATTCTCGAGCGTCAACGGAATACCACCTAATCCTCCGGGCTTGACTGGAATGGTCGCGCGACCACCAGTTGGACATGATCTGCCCAGTTATCCGCCGCATTCGGGACCTTTCATCAGTCCTTTCCGTGGCTATCCAGCACCAAGCGGAATCCCCGCACCGCCAGGTATCAATGGGGCACGTCCAATGCCGCCTGGACGCGGATTCCCGCTTGAGCCCGGACAAGGGTTTGCATTCCATGGCCAGCAGATTCCTGGAGCTTTCTCGACGCCGCAGGGTGGATTGCCCCACCGCCATTCCAGGCAACCCTCCGGCTCATTTGAGAGGTCACCTCTGGAGAATCACGCACAGCCTATGCCAATTTCTCGGCCTAGCCCTATCAAACGACCATCCAGCACCCAACAGGACCAGCAGAAGGGTGGTGATCGTACCACA